CACTAGAAAGCAACACCCCTTAAAACTAATGTTACATCTCTAACCAGCGGCTTTTGATCATTACATTGTTTGATCTAACTAAAATAATCCAGTTGGATTGGTTGGAAAAACAACCAATCTATTCTTAGAATCTATCCAAACTCCAACATGTTGACTGAACGTTGAGGCTGTTTAGATGCCTGCTGAAGTTCCCCATGATCTGAAACACTTCCTGCTAACAGAGGCTTCCACACTCCTCAAGTTTGACTTTATGATGCATGTTCCACCTTATAAATCTTTAAATATTTATTTAACTAAAAATAATCTGTTTTTCTTGCTTCCTGAAAATTGAAAATGTTAGGGAAGACTAAACACAATGAGCCAAAAGTAAATAAATAAAACAATTTCTACAGGAGATTCATTCTGGAACATTAAAGATTTTATTCATCTGAGAAACGGTGGAAAAAATAAAGATTTCCATAAAAATAAAGTCAGACCTCCTGGAGTCTGGGTCCATGTGGTTCATGATGGGGAGCTGCTCCTCCTCCGTTTCCTCCCCCTCCCCTGCAGCTCCTCCCTCTGCCTCTTCCCACGGCTCTCCTCCTGTTCGGTGTCCTCGGCGTTCTGAGGTGAAGCGGTTTTATCTGGAACCGGGACGGCCTGCAGGTCCAGAGTCTGTGTGAGGAAGAGGGGGGCGGAGCCTAGCAGCGCTCTGACGGCCTCCAGCAGCAGCTGGTTCCTCCTGGGCTGAGCATCACCTGTGAAAACAGCCAGTGAGGACGGACGCCGGAGTCCAGACAGCTGCAGGCGCCGCCGCCGCGTCTTACCTCCTGCTAAGCTCTGCTGCTCCTCAGCACCTCCTCCTGCTGAGCCCTGCTGCCGAGCTCTGAGCCTCCTTCTAAGGGCTGAAACCTCCAGCTGAAGTTCTTTGACGGATCGCTCGCTCTCCTCCACCTCTGCACAGACTTTCTGTCCACAAACAGAGAGAAGGACGACATGAAGATCTACCAGCCTGGTTAGGAGAACACAGCCCTCAGGGGAGGGAGGGAGGGAGG